GCCGCCTTCACCCAAAAGCGGTCGCTACAATTAAATTTGGGCATTTAAAATGAAGTTTTCCCTAATAATGTTTTCTTGAAGTGCAATGGACGGTCATTTCAAACGTGAAGTGTTACAAATGCAACCGTTTAGGGGGGAGTCCTACATGAAACCACAAAAATTTTGATTGGACACTATGATTGCGTGTAAACTTATTTTTCACGTGGCACGCATAGATTTAGTCTGCTACACAGCCGTTCTTATTGTCGTCACGCAACGCTTCTCCCCACTAGTGGGGAGGAGCGTTTCGTGACGACACTAAAAACGGCTGTGTAGCAGACTAGCATAGATTAAGCCATTTGGATGTTGTTATATGAATTTCCCGCTTCAAACCAGGCGCCAGTTGTTCCGGAAAGGTGGATAGTGCTATCCACTGGATAAATATCTATTCACTGGATAAATATCTATCCACTGGACCTGAGCGCAATTGGTTTCCCTGATACTTATACAATGAATAGAGCTATCCATCTTTTGAACAACCGGGGCAAGATATTTAAGTGAATAATATATTTCCACCAATGATATTGAAGTTCTAACTTGTTGGATCAGCCCAAATAACCCAGGCTCCTGTTATCGCAGACTGTTGTCCTCGCAGTAGTTCTTTGGTGAAACATTACTTACCACCTTCATTCCGACGAAGCTAGTTTCTCACTAACCTCCTTCGGAACCGTTAATCACGCAAAACAACAAAAAGCCGAGAAAATAATTATCTCGTACGGTTTCAAGGCTATTTAAGGTCAAGGACACCCAAAGACGTTTTCTCCTAAATGAATTGAAAAGTTTTTTTTCAAAATTAGGCTATCCAGAGAACTTTTAGACATCTCTGGAAATGAATTCTAAGCGGCCCTATAAATTTGTATAAAGTCTTCAGTCATCTTAGTAAAACTTGAGGATTTTCGAAATTACAAGGGCTTCAGTGTTATTTTCCTCAAAATTTTAGATGCAACTGAACAGTTAACGAAATATCGAAGGAATTTTATGAACTGGGCTGCCCTCAGAAAATCGTAGGGAATTTTTTGTCGAAAATTGTACCTGAATGGAACACTTATCTAGAAATCTTTAGCCGTATTCAAGTAATAGGAACTTCCAGTCAGTATTTGCTTCTCCGAACAGATATTTTACAGAAAACAGTCGTTGGGTGCCCCTGATAAAAGGAGGCAGACTCTTGGTAACGGCCACGTAATGAAAATAGCTGATCCTTACAGTGAATGAGATTAAATCGTGCTGCCTGAACGTTTAATTATAGTAACGTTACTTGGCAAAAACTGAAAATAAAGGAAATTGGCGAATTGGTGGCGAATTAATTTACTTTGTTTGGGTAAACAAATTGGCATTTCTGAAAGAAGATAAACATACCTAACTTTCTACGTTTGGAATGAATGTACGCGAAGCTTAAAGAATTTTAAAGATTTAAATGAATAAAGATTAAATTTGGCATGTAAAACCATGTTTTCCCTCATAATGTTTTGTTGAAGCGCAATGGACAGTCATTCCAAACGTGAAGTGTTAGAAATATTTAATACGAATAAGAAAAATGTTGTTGCTCGATTTCTTTCCTTAAACCGGCACCAACTGGTCGATAATTTACGACTTTTCGAAAAATAGTCACGACGTGATGTTTTAAAGGGCGATAACTTCTTTATGTTTGCCAAATTTTGATTCAGCGCCATCATCTATGTCGAAGTTATAGCCGAATAAATCAATAAACTGACTAACTTCAAAAGTCAAGTCATGTGTATCGATGTGACATTGACGCAGCCGTCTTCTTTTGACTAAGTTGACGGTTGTTTGAAGTAAATGAAGTGTGCATGCGCCTCGCGATCGAAAAAAAAAAGGTTAACATGTAAGCCAAGATAAGGATGAACTGACTTATTTCAGAAGTCAAGTCCTGGGTATAAGGGGGAAAAGGGCTTGTGAAAATCAACTTATGCCTTCGATTCTGATTGATGCCCACCTAGCAGTTATTTTGAGTTATTTCAGAAGAGAGGAAGAAGAATATATTAGAATGATTCTAGACCAATTTAGATTAAAAAAGTGCCGCCATTCGATTCGAAGGACGACTGAATGTTTTGATATGTACCTAATTTTTACAGCATGGTGGACTTATTAGTGATTTATGTTGCGGCCCTATTTGTTTGCGTTTTTACATTAACTTTTCTGTTTCTGTCTTTGACTGTAGTAAATGAGATGTTCATTTATTCATTTGTTTAGCTGTTGCTCAGCTTCCCAAAGAGACCAAGTATTTACACTGACAGTACAATAGAACAGATGAATAGCTTTACTTATATTCTGAAGCCCTGAGCGAGGGTAATCGAATCCACGAGGCGCGAAGCGTGGAGAAGCAGTCATTGGAATTCAAGGGTTCACTGTTGTTAATCTACTACGGTTAAAGATTAGTTGATTGAATATGGATTAAGTTTTGAAAGGTGGAGGTGTTGTTTTGAAGTGTTCTGTTGAGACGGTGTTGTGTTGTTATACTGTGCAGTGGTTTACGGATCCGCCCAAACCATCCGGGTGGTATCGCAAATATATAGAGAAAGAACAATAGGGGAGGTATCAGCCAATGAGGAAGGACTGACGTCATCAAATCTGGTGAAACTGATTGGATAGTGCCTTTTGTTTCTGTGATACTCCGTTTATTTAGTAGTAATTTGCAATTGAATGAGATGAAATGGGGGACAATGAAATTTTAAGAAATATAGAATATGTTTCTTGCTGGCCGGCCGCTTAAACAATTTAAGATGTTCATGCACGTGAAGAGATACAGTCTTGATTCTGATAAAGCGTCTTTCCTGATATAGGATCTCTACAGTCGAGAATAAAAAAGATCAATTAACGATCGCAACGATTAACAAGACAACTCTTCAACGAACGGGAGGTTTCCAGTATCATTATTGGTGCGGTTGCCGACTATAGTTCAGATTGCTACTGTGTTCGGCGATATGCCGATCAGCGCCATCTGAATGAAACCACTGCCCGTATCCAGGTTTATATCCTATAAGGATATTAACGAATGTGTAAATAGTCCGGACAACAACAATCAAGTTATTTAACTTAGCATAATTAATTATACGGGCTAGAAATGACAAAAACCGTGCTTTGTTTGACTATTTCTGTTTTCGGGGCGTAAACACAAACCAATAGATTTTAGTCCCTTTGATCGTAAACTGCGCAACAAATCAGTGAGAGAAAGATTTTAAAAGTTTTACTAAATCCTACCGGTTCATGTAATCGACAAATTGTTGATTCGTTGCTTCTGTTTTTAGTCGTTGATATTGTTTCAAAAATTCTTAAAAACAAGAACAATTCCCACAAGTTATAGTGCCCTTCTTTTGTTCCAACAACAATAACTATGCAAATCAGCACTGAAACAACGTAACCTGACGGCCGGGTTGTTTGCTAAGCTGGGTTTAAGATCTAACCCAGGTTTGAACTCAGATATCATACCGTTAAATTCCGAAAGTAAGCCCCGGGACTTATATTTTTCAAATGCCCTTTTTGAGGGGCTTATTTTTGCTGAGGGGCTTATATTCGAAATTTGCGTTTCAAAATCGATTGGGTTAGCCTTATAGTTGGGAGGAAATTTACTGTTTTTGCTTTGTTTTACTTTGTATTTGAGGGCAATTTTCATTGAAAACACTTCTGGTTAGGTTATCCAGCATACTTTTATTTCTCTAAAATGAATTACAAGCGGCGCTATAAAATTTGTATCTGTTCGGTCATCCTAGGGGGAACTTGAGTCTTTTCATAATTACAAGGGCTTCAGTATTATTTTCCCGAAAAGTTTAGAAGCAGTTTAACGTATTACGAACTCAAAGTAATAATTTGATTTTGATTCCTCTCTCCATGACATTTTAGAACCCGAAACTTTTAGGTTTTCCTTTTTTCAAAGGAAAAAAGCCAAACCTGGGGAGTGAAATATGAAAAATAATAATTTCTGCCCAAATATTAAGTTATTTCTGTTTGTATATGTGTGCCAGCATTTACTCCTTGCAACTTCATATTGCTCTTTTTGCTCTATGTGCCACATTTTAAATGCACGTACAGGGATATTCACATTTAAATGCACTGTAAGTTTCGTTACGCTGTCTTTTTTGCGCATCTTTCAGATGTTTTCTCTCGATTCGTATTAGCGATGATTCGCCTAAACTCCGGCGAAACTTCGTCCCTTAATAACTGCTTTAAGTCCACCGGTGCTCAGTGAATGCTTCGAGCCCTTGTAGTCTCAAGCCTTTGAAGCCACATTCTCGGAACTCGGTGCTGACACTCTTGGCTAATTTTACTCGTTTTAGACGAGTAAACGACCGTTAGTTTCGAGCATTGTAAATAATGTGTTATCTTATGTTGGGAGTTGACTTATATTTAAGAACACATTTTATTTAAACAAAACTTATCTCGGGTGATAAACATGGTGAAGTTTCGAATTTTTATGTTAACTTGACGCTGGTCGACATACATTTTCAAAAGTGATCGTTACAGCGGATTTATGACAAAACTATTCAGTTATATTATACGAAATTGGAAATGTGATTAAGAAAAGAGACTCAACGGTCAGTATAACTGTTCATAGCTTTAGAATCGACATGCACCACGTGTGGTACCTAACCATGTATAAGATCTAAAATTAATTAGAAAGTCTGGGATAATCAGCTCTCATTACTACTAAGTCATAAAGTATTCAAAAGATAGCGTTCCACTGACTTTCTTGGAAATACCGGAAGACCCCTACTGATGTAAATAGCTGATTATAAATATTGTAATCTTTTCAGTCTTTTGGTCACGTGAGATGAAATGTTTTACAGCATTGGATAATTTGAATTTTTGGCGTCCATGCATGGCAGTTATAATGACGCAAATTATAAATACAAGTCAAAGAATTAAGGAAACATTTACGTCTTGGTAATCCTTGGTAACACTCAGCGCTAACAGAAGCGTCTTAAAGATTCGCGTTCAGTCGCAGAATGGCTAGGATAACGAGGAAGAAGAGAGAAAGAAGTCATCTTCCAAGAGAAGGATGGTCAGAGTGGAAGAGGGCCCTTGTACCCAAAGATAATAAAAGAAACGCAATCATAAAGCGCGGGCGAAATCACAAGGGCTTCATACTAGAAAACTTTGTGAAGGGAAAAAATTCACGTGAAATGGACAAAAATTGTGGCATCTATGAGTGGAGAGCTATAGGAACTAAGCCTAATCAGCCAAACCATGTAGTTTATGTTGGAAGTACGTGCCCCAAAGGAAGCCGTTATGGCGCAAAATTGGGAAGCAGAATCCGCGAATACTGCAGTAATGGTAATCATATAGCAGAGCCGATGAATAAGGCGTTGGGACGAGGTTATGAATTACAGGTGCGTTGTAAAAAGGCTAAGAATCAGGAGGATGCGAGAAAGCAGGAGGCGAAATTGTTGAAGAAATACGATTATGCGTGGAATAAGAGAGGTAACGGCGGGCGTTCGAGAAGCGTACTGCCGAAGTGACTGTCGAGATTCGTAATCGCGGCTAAGCAGCATCTATGGACTTAGAAGGAACTTAATTAGACGACTCTTGTAAGTACAAATGACTAGCTAACTGCATTTTGATACTGCTCTTAAGGCAGTATACACACCTGTAAGTTAGTTGCGGATCTGATATCAATTTGATGACCGTTTATGCGCATTGCTTCATTTCAGTAATTGTCAGTATTATTAATTTTCTTTGTATTATCAGTTGTAGCTGAGGTATTATCAAAGTTGCCTGAGTCTTAATCTATCTTTTAAATGTAGGGAACTGAATCTATACAGTTTACGTATAATGGAGCCCCAGCAGACACCAGTATACTTTGTATGCCTTTTGACTCAAAAATTTTCAGTTTCACTGGCGACAATTGCCGCCATTTTCGTGAAAAATAATCAACATAATTATACAGATTGAGAAGGCTGTTAATTGGTCTTAATTGCCTAAACCGAAAGCTGTTTCCAAGATCATAACATCCTCACCTGCACGTAGTATTTCTTTTAAACAATCGCTCAATGATCCGCGGTGCTTCCAGGATATTTTGAACGGATGTTTTTTCTAGGAGATATATACCCTTCAAAAACGTACTTTATATCTATCTAGTACAGTGGTATTGTTATCTATTCTTGTTAACTGCCACTTACAGTCTTAATCTACTCCTTCACTTATCTTGTTCGATTATATTAGTGCAAAAGGAGATGATGGAAGTTCTTTTGTATCTGCTTAGTATTTGCTAATATGCTTGCACTTTTGTGAGTAAATACCTGTGTCACGTAGAAGCCATTGTACACTAGAGGTCACTAGAAGACTATAAATAAAAGTTTTATACCTGTGCTGAATACTTCGATTCTATGCAATCTCAAGCCTCAGACAGAATGGTTTATCTCATTAACAAAAACTGTACAAGACTGGAATAGTTGCATATTAACCCCATTGCTCTTTTGAAGGACGCCTCAGAGATTTTCGAACCAATTTCACAAGACAGCACCAACAAGCCCACCAAATTTATTTAGTACTATTTTGCCCTGGCAGAGTTGTTCTTTTCGGAGCATCTGTGTCAGCTATATGCACTTTGAATGAAGTTCTTTTCACTTTTGGTGTGCCTTTTAATTCTAATAGACTTTACTTAACTTTAATTTTAATTTATTTGGATTAATGGCATGAATACATATTTAATGTTAAAATATGTGGTTTATTATTAATTTAGCATACATTTGAACGAACAACTGTGCTAAAATTACCCACATCAACATGCCTCAGAAAGCAATAATTGGCTCAGTTACTAGCCGTTTGAAAACAATGGCAGGTTATTTCCACGAAATACCGGAAGAACATCAGTTGCCTTTCTCAGAATTAACAGAATCCTTTAACTCTCTTGAAGAATACATGTCAAGTGATTATTCTCAAGATGAGCAGCTGTTTTATTGTTTCGCTCTGTGTGAGCCCAGTTTTTTGATACACGAGTGCTCATAGAACTCTTCAGGCGGAGTTGACAATTAGGGCCAATCTAGCCTGCAAACAAGCTCTCCTATTTGGGCGAGCAAAGCGAGTCTCGCGAGAACGCGCGACCTCGGCCCCTAGCTCGCGTGTTCTCGCGAGGCTCGCCCAAATAGGAGAGCTTGCTCGCAGCCTAGGGCCAGTCTAGTGCTAGAAACCATGGAAAATAATATGATCCGTTTACAGTTAACCAATAATACGATTACGTAACCGGAGATTGCATTTTAGCCAGTCGCTCGTTATTTCGTTAGTTATGACGCAGCTTCGTGAATCGCGAACCGCATGTGCCAAACCATCAAGGTTTAGTCGCTTGCCACACATTAAAAGTTCAAGCGGTGCGTCGTAAAAGAGAGCGCAACCGTTCGTTTTCATTTTTTTCGTACAGCAGAAAGATCATTTGGGTTGCTGTTGTAATCGAAGCTACAGTACAAACGCGTTTTGGCTATTATCTGCAACCGTCCTTGATTGACTTGATTTCTCAGACACTTTGTCCCCAATAGGCTCCTTCAATCCTGTCACCCCCAACCCAACTTCGCTCAATTCGCCGTAAATTTTGAGGTGTCGCATAATTACTTTCAGACGTTTTCGTAGACGTCGCCGTCTTTGAATAGGGAGCTTAAGCAACAACGACAGCGACGGCTACGAAAACGTCTCTTAAAAAGTGAATTCGCGCTGCCCCAAAATTTATCGCGCCTATCTATCTTGTTTAATTCGTCAAATTCGGGAAATTTTTTTGGAGTTGAATTCTAAAGGACTGTATCAAAGTTCAAGAAAAGAAAAAGAAAGTTGTTTGCTTGTGTTCCCGTGCTCGACAAAACATATCCAGTAAGTTGCGGCGTTTTATATAAATTTCCTTCTGCAAATCGCATATGTAAATTAATGTTCTGTTTCCACCAATGACATTGCAGTCATAAGTCATTAAATCTCTGAGCCTAAATACTGGCTGCTCCCGCTATACGCGCGCAGACTATTGTCTTTGGAGTAGGTCTTTGGCGAAATATTACAAGTTATTTAAACGCTTCATTCGAACGAAGCCAGTTTCTCACTAACCTCCCTCGCAGCCCTTTACTCACGCAGACGGTATGTTTCAGCGGCCGTTTAGGGAACATAATGTTCTGGTACGGTTTCAAGGCCAGGATCCGTGTTCACAATGGAGGAGAGCAGTGGCACCTATACAAATATAGTGGATATACTGAGAATCGCGGATCAAGCCAACCAGGTTACATGTGGTCAAACATCAGAAATGTGTCAGACGAAGAGGACGGATTCTGTGGAATCTATGAGTTTCGGGTTAGAGGAACCCTGCTCGGCCAGTTGCAGAGTCAACAGTAGTTTATGTAGTCTGCTACACAGCCGTTTTTAGAGTCGTCACGCAACACTCCTCCCCACTCCTCCTCCTCCTCCTCCGCGTTGCGTGACGACACTAAAAACGGCTGTGTAGCAGACTATAGTTTATGTTGTTAACACTTGTCCGCGTGGCGCAGATGGCGGAGTATGCCGCAGATTTAACTCATCAACTACTGCAGACACGGAAACCATAAAGCATTTCAAATAAATGACGCATTAAGCAGAGGATATGAACAGTGGGTCCGGTATAAGCAAGCTGGGAGTGCAGAGGAAGCTCAAGCCTGGGAAAATGTGCTGCTCGCCGCGTATGATTACGCTTGGAATGCTAGAAATAACGGCAAGGTTAAGGGCGTCCTGACACTGCCTGATTGACTCTGAAGCGGTAAACGGAGACATCCAATTATCCCGGCAGGGACTTATAATTCGCCATTGAACAGAAAAGTTTTTATTTTTGTGCAAACCAGTAGTACAGGAAAATTTGTTTAGCTTAACTTGCGTATAGACTGAGCACGATAACAGTCACCTTTTAATTTGAGTACTTTTAACTGCAGCCACTAATCGTCATTAGCGCTAGTATTTTAAAAATCGTGTCCGATTACAGTCAATCAAACAGAGATGACAACACAAGTTCCAATACTTGCTAAGAGGACTATTAAAATGTTTAGATATATACAGTATATGTAAGTGATCGCATGATGGACTCCAACTTTTTAAAACTATTTTTGTCAGTTTTCAATCGACGAGAAAGTTTACTGATCGTGTCTTAGGATTCTACTCGTTTTTATTTTAAGTTGATGTCTTCTACTAAACTTTGCAGATATCGCATTTACGAAAGTTTTTAGCTCAAATCTACCGTTGAATTGCAATAGAATTTTCTAAAAAATACCGGAAGAACGTCATTTGCCGTTCCTATGCAGAATTGAAAATATCTTTGTCACTCACTCCTCAATGATTCATTGTTCGTGACAATTGATTACTTTGAAGAAAACCCCTTTGTCCTCCATGACTCGAGCAAAACGGGATCATGAATAAGCTACTGACTAATTATTTTTGGAATAAAAGGGATAATATGGTGGCTATGAGAGAAATATTCCATCATTACGACGTTGAGGCCAAGACTCTAATTGACACTAAGGATCTAAAAACTGAAGTAGCCAACAAATGATATATCAGGGGCACCCAACGAGAATATAGTTCAAAACCACCTAAACATAGCATTGTTAAACGTATTTTAGTATTTAAACGGTAGATATAGGCATATTTTTATCCACTAAAAATTTTTCATCTGTTCGGATTTCCTAGCTGAAAGTCTAGTGATCCGAAAATTATAGGGATCAAAACTTACCTTTTCGAAAATTTCAGCCAGAAGAAAGGCTCCCGAAAATTCTAGGTGACCTTTTTAGGGTAAAAATCCGTTAAAAATAGGCAGTTAGACCATTTTTTAGATGTTCGAAAATCCTAGGAGTGGCAGGCAAGCAAGAAAGTTTACAACAAATGTTCCGAAAATTCTAGATCTCAAATCGTCTTCCGAACAGATATTTTCCGAAAATTGTCGTTGAGTGCCCCTGATATATAAATTGCTATGACGTTTTATATCATATTTTTACGTTTAAATTCTGTTAGACCAGCTCTGGTTTCAAAGCTGTGTCAACTCTATTAAACAAGCCGGAAAAAAGTAAGGATGGCGAAGCTAAGCGCCCTGCGAAACGTCGCTGTAATTTATAGAGTGGAAGCAGAAATTTCGAATACGCGCGGGCGCACGAGAGGAGAAAATAAGAGAAAATAAGTTTCCGCCACCTCTCCCCTGCATACCAAACAGCACATTCTTCTCAAGTTCAATGATTATACGGGGTTAGGAAAATGAGTGAAATGAATCCCATTTAGGAATTAGGATCCTTATACAAACATTGTGAAACTTGGTCCAGTTGTTCGAAGGCCGATTAGCGCTAACCCAGGGTTAAATTTTAACCCGGGTGTTTCTTTTGTTCAAAAGCATTTTGCGAATAATTTTCTCTCTTCTAGCTTTTTAGAGCATCTAATCATCACGTTGTAGGGAAAAGAACAAAACTAAATTTCTTTTTAAGCTTTCATATCTGAAATCAAATTTCGCTCTAACCCTGGGTTAACTTAACCCTGATTTGAACTACCAGGCCCAGACTCCTTTATACTAGCGTTTAGCGTTGTGCAAATACTTCTGACGTATCGAAGACTAAGCGTTGATCAAAATCAAATAAAAAAACCAGTAATGCTAGCACGGACAAAGACTTCAGCTTCAGCTCTCGGGTCTTAGCAAACAATTTCTGCTTTCAAGGTCTTTGGAAGTGGACAAACGTTCTAGTAGCCTCGATTACCAGCCGCTGTTCGGGAAATGAGCCCGCGCTCCTCCCCAAGAGAGCGACTAATGTTTTAGCAGAAAGCCGAACAGGCGTAAAGCATAAAGAATTTTGAGGCAAATGAAGCAAAATAAATTTATTCTGCTACAGATTTTAGTACTGTTTGCCGTTCAAAAACTTTCACGGTTCCTCGGGTGTCGTGTAACGAAAGATGGATCCGTGCAAGTTTTTGTCTGTTTGTTGGATCAGCCCAAATAACCGAGGCTCCTGTTATCGCAGACTGTTGTCCTTGCAGTAGTTCTTCGGTGAAACATTACTTACCGCCTTCATTCCGACGAAGCCAGTTTCTCGATCACTAACCTAACCGGCACCAATTGGTCGATAATTTACGACTTTTCGAAAAAAAGTCACGTGACATATCATGTGATGTTTTAAAGGGCGATAACTTTTTTTATGTTTGCCAAATTTTGATTCAGCCCCATCATCTATGTCGAAGTTATAGCCGAATAAATCATTTTCTACCGGTAAACTTACTAACTTCAGAAGTCAAGTCATGTGTATCGATGTGACATTGACGCAGCCGTCTTCTTTTGACTAAGCTGACGGTTGTTTGAAGCAAATGAGGTGCACCTCGCGATCGAAAAAAAAAAAGGCTAACATGTAAGCCAAGATAAGGATGAACCGACTTATTTCAGAAGTCAAGTCCTAGGTATAAGGGGAAAAAGGGCTTGTGAAAATCAACTAATGCCTTCGATTATGATTTATGCCAACCTACCAGTTATTTTGAGTTATTTCAGAAGAGAGGAAGAAGAATATATTAGAATGATTCTAGACCAGTTTAGATTAAAAAAGTAGGGCCATTCGATTCGAAGGACGACTGAATGTTTTGATATGTACCTAATTTTTACAGTATGGTGGATTTATCACTGATTTATGTTGCGGCCCCATTTGTTTGCGTTTTTATATTGTTTATTTTGTTCGGTTAACTTTCTGTTTCTGTCTTTGACTGTAGTAAATGACATGTTCATTTGTTCATTTGTTTAGCTGTCGCTCAGCCTCTCAAAGAGACCAAGTATTTACACTGACAGTACAATAGAACAGATGAATAGCTTTAATTACTTATATTCTGCAGCCCTGAGCGAGGGTAATCGAATCCACGAGGCGCGAAGCGTGGAGAAGCAGTCATTGGAATTCAAGGGTTCACTGTCGTTAATCTACTACGGTTAAAGATTAGTTGATTGAATATGGATTAAGTTTTGAAAGGTGGAGGTGCTGTTTTGAAGTGTTCTGTTGAGACGGTGTTGTGTTGTTATACTGTTCAGTGCTTTACGGATCCGCCCAAACCATCCGGGTGGTATCGCAAATATATAGAGAAAGAAGAATAGGGGAGGTATCAGCCAATGAGGAAGGACTGACGTCATCAAATCTGATGAAACTAATTGGATAGTGCCTTTTGTTTCTGTGATACTCGATTTATTTAGTAGTAACTTGCAATTGAATGAGATGAAATGGGGGACAATGAAATTTTAAGAAATATAGAATGTGTTTCTTGCTGGCCGGCCGCTTAAACAATTTAAGATGTTCTTGCACGTGAAAAGATACAGTCTTGATTCTGATAAAGCCTCTTTCCTGATAAAGGATCGGTACGGTCGAGAATAAAAAAGATCAATTAACGATCGCATCGATTACTGAACTGCAAAACAACTGTTCAACGAACCGGAGCTTTCCAGTATCATTATTGGTGCGGTTGCCGACTATAGTTTAGATTGCTACTTTGTTCGGCGATATGCCGATCAGCGCCACCTGAATGAATTCAAACCATTGCGCGTATCCAGGTTCATATCCTGTAGGGATATTAACGAATGTGTAAATAGTCCGGACAACAACAATCAAGTTATTTAACTTAGCATAATTTAGTTATACGGGCTGGAAATGACAAAAATCGTGCTGTGTTTGACTAAAAACCAATAGATTTTAGTCCCTTTGATCGTAAACTGCGCAACAAATCGGTGAGAGAAAGATTTTAAAAGTTTTACTAAATCCTACCGGTTCACGTAATCGACAAGATGTTGATTCGTTGCTTCTGTTTATGTTCGTTGATATTGTTTCAAAAATTCTAAAAAACAAGCACAATTCCCACAAGTTATAGTGCCCTTCTTTTGTTACAACAAACAATAACTATGCAAATCAGCACTGAAACAACGTAACCTGACGACCGGGTTGTTTGCGAAGCTGAGTTTAAGATCTAACCCAGGGTTAGTGCGAAATTTGAACTCAGATATGGTACCGTTAAATTCCGAAAATAAGCCCCGGGGCTTATATTTTTCAAATGCCCTTTTTATCGCCGAGGGGCTTAAATTCGGAAGGGCTTATCTACGGAGGGAAATTTGCGTTTCAAAATTAGTCGATTGGGCTAGCCTTATAGTTGGAAAGAAATTTACCGTTTTTGCTTTGTTTTACTTTGTATTTGAGGACAATTTCCACTGAAAATACTTTTTAGGCTATCCAGCATACTTTTATTTCTCTAAAAATGAATTACAAGCGGCGCTATAAAATTTGTATCTGGTCGGTCATCCTAGGGGGAACTTGAGTCTTTTCATAATTACAAGGGCTTCAGTATTATTTTTCCGAAAAGTTTAGATGCAGTTTAACGAATGATTACGAACTCAAAGTAATAATTTGATTCTGATTCCTCTCTTCATGACATTTTAGAATCCGAAACTTTAAGGTTTTCTTTTTTTCAAAGGAAAAAAGCCAAACCTGGGGAGTAAATATCAAAAATTAACCTTAGGAAAAACGTGACGAATTTATTAAATCATTCGAAATTTGTACATGAATGGAGCGGTCGTCAAGAAATTTTTAGCCGTCCTTAAGTAATAGCAAGTCCTAGGCAATATTTGCTTCTACCAACAGATATTTTACAGAAAACAGTAGGTTGGGTGCCCCTGTTAAGGTCGTGGTGGTCGCAGTATGGAAGAGGACATTGGTGCCTAATAGAAGAAGCGTGCAGTTATACTAAAAACTCTTCTCGGCCAATGCAGAGTGCAGTGGTTTACGTTGGAAGCACTTGCCCGCGAAACGCAGATGATGAGGTATGCCTCATATCGAAAAGTAGAATCATCAGCTATTGCAAATAACGGAAACCGTAAAGCAGTTCTAATAAATGGCGCATTGAGGAGATAACATGAACTGTGGGTCCGTTATAAGTCAGTTGGGAATGGCGCGGCACAGGCTCATCAGTAGGAGAATGAGCTGCTGACCGTGTACGATTACCCTTGGAATGTATTTCCATAGAGACACAAGAGAAGTAACTGGAGACATTGAATGAATGGCTCATGGATGAACTTCTTTACTACATAGAACAAAACTTGTTCGTGCCAATCAGAAGACCGTAGAAAATGTTTTGCTGAGGTTACGTGGCTAGAGATCTGACGTAGTTAGAGAACTGATTAGAAGTTTCTGAGCTTTGCTGCGTGACTGTTTTTAATACAAATAAACAGTCCAGTGAATGTTGATTGCCCTTTTGTGCTTTTCCACTCACACCTTTAACGCTTTAAGCCCTAAGAGTGATCAGCGTCTAATTTCTCCACGTAATATCACTGCTTTATAAAAGAGAGTGGTCATGAGAACTAAGGATATGATCACACAAGATGAATCCAATTGATACTTTAACAAATTCCCCCACTCTTTCTATTGAAAACGCATAGGGATAACAAATGAGAATTTGAATTTTGATGGTAGGGTTCAAAGGCTTAAGCTCTCACAAGTTCAACCCCCAGCTGCTTCTACTGCTTTTCACAACACATTTTGTAAGTAACGTGCGAAGAGTCCGATACAAAGCGGCATAAAAAATAATGTTTAATCAATGAGCCGGAAACTGTAACTTTAAAAAAACTCTACTTTCGCCGGTTTTAAAATCGACGAGAAAGTCTAATATCATTGTATTCAAGGAATCCGCGTTTTTGCGGGCGACAAGAGGAGGTGGGAGACCTCAGGTAGGAGAGGTAACCCGCCTGTCCATATAATTTCTCATTTTAATGCGATTACGGTTACATGATAGGTGGGGTGACCCGCCGCATGTTACCACATCTATCTGGGGTCCCCCACCTCCATGTAAACAGGCCCTTAGTCACTTGCCACACGTTGAAAGTTCGAGGAGAGCATCTTGAAAGAGAGCCCAACACAGAACATTTACATTTTTGGCCATTAAAAGCGAACCGTTCTTGATATCTGGGCTACTTTGTCTGGGGTTTTTGATACTGGGATGAAACTTTGAATTATAATCAGCTTTAACAAGTTCGGTGAACAAACAGAGAACAACCTAATTAAAATATCGCTCGTATCTGACCCTCATGATTTGAACCGCTTCTGAATCTTTTAAGACCTTTTAAGTCACATTTATTCACCCCCAAAGACTCTGCTGCATACAATTTCTTCTGGAGCTGTTCAACTAGCAGCAAATTATTATTTAAAAAAAACCGAATCCATATTACTTGAAAACATTTATTGTCGTTCATAATTCATTCAACACAATATTTATTCCCAAGCGAGTAAAAAATCCTCCTTCAGAAAATAATGTTTATCAATGAGACCTGCTCATGTAGAGGTAATATATAGACCCCATTCACGATACCAGCGATCTTTGCACGCGCAGAAGGACTGGTGGGATAAATGTAATGTCACGTGGTTTCTCAGGGCGCAAACAAGCGATAAAATCTGCCAATACAAGAAATCGCACTTGCATTTGTTTATTTTAGACAACAAAAAACGAAGAACGTTTTATCATAAAGACAACAATGGCAAATTAGGGGTGGACGTGATCGTTGTTATATTTTTTATTGCAGTAGGGACGGTAGATGTCCTCGCAGCAAGCAATAATTACGTGAAACTAGTCGAAACTTGAGCATTGTATATTTTGCAAAAGTAAAATTGCCTTATCGTTTTTAGAGGATAAACAAACTCGACTGCGATTACTCGTATTGAGACATTTTATCACTTGTTTGCCCCCTGAAATACCGCGTGACATTTCTTTTACCCCATCAATCCTAGAGCGCGTGCAAAGATGGCGGGTATCGTGAATAAGGTCTATTACTTCTTGCTATTGACCAGCATTTATTTATTTTCCATATTAATGGCTCTTGTCTATCTTTTATATTTCATTCATCTATTTATCCCTCTCCCCAGTTATACATCCACCGTTCCTTCGTTCCTTTATTCATTCATTCCACTCTTGAATTTGAATCAATGATCAGTCTTCATCAGTCTCTTTATGGTCAAGTATTCAAAGCTCATTGCAGTTTTTACTAATCACCACATAAGGTTAAGGGTACCAACTTTTTTTTTAAGAGTTGTTTCTTGTATCTGCGTCTGATTCTTTGGCAAACTGTGATTATCGCTTGAGAGCTTGCCAGGCATGTGATCAGAAGGTGAGTGGTAGACAATCTCATTAATAAAACTCCTAAATGATGAAATATTGTTCGAAGTTTTATGTTCTTAAGGAGACCGTGGTCTCTAACTCGTTTAACTGTTCACGATATCCTCTCACTGACCAGCCCTGATAACATCGACGCCGCTTTCTCAGCACGAGTAAAAATACGATGCCGATGACAGCCATCACAGGAATAACCGTACACACGGAAGTGACGACAACTGGCGTGGACGCCCTGGCGTGCAAAGGCATGTTGGGACTGGGAGGAACCGAATTGGGAAAATTCCCGGATGACTGGGACGAAGGTGAGTCTGGTGAAGAAGGTCTGGAGGAAGACGAAGAGGTTGAGGGTTTTGAAGAGTGGAGAGTTGACTCTTCTGAATTCGATTGAACCTGAATTTATACCAATGCGTAACAAGTCACTAAGGCCACGAAAACTTCCACTGATGATTTGCACCGCGATGTTCCAGTCACATTCTTGTATTTTTAGGAAGTTCTGAAGAGCCTTAATATTAAGCCTGGCATTGACTAGTAAAATCGTTCTGTTCAGTTTGCATTTAAGGTCAATGTAAGGAACTCATTGCTAGTATGTAATTTCGAATTTAAAACTAAAGGGCTATTTCTTAGAAAAACCGCAAGTTCTCACAATACTACAGTTTAAGTTAAGAAACCTCAAACATTTTGATTGGCTAATTACGTGTAAACTAATTTTTCACGTGGCATGGAAAGCCAATAGCAAGTTGTGGCGTGGTATATGAATCTCCCGCTGCAAATCACATACGTAAGTTAATGTTCTGTTTCAACCCATAACATTGCAGTAATAAGTCATTGGATCAGCCTAACATTCGCTGCTCCTGCTAAACACAGACCACTGTCCTTGCAGAAGTACTTTGGCGAACAATTGTATAACGCTTCATTTCAACGAAGCTAGTCTTTGCAGCCCTTTACTCACGCAGACGGTATGTTTCAACTAAAGCCATTTAGAGAAAATAATGATCTCGTACGGCTTCAAGGCCAAGGTTCGTGGTCACAATGGAGGAGAGCAATGGTGCCTACGAGTAGTGGATATACTGAGAATCGCGGACCAGGCCAAGTAGGCTACATGTGGTCAAACATCAGAAATGAGTTAAACGGAGTGGCAGGATTCTGTGGAATCTATGAGTTTCAGGTTAGAGGAGGAACCCAGAGTGCAGTAGTTTACGTTGGAAGCACTTGCCCACGCCAAGCAGATGGCGGACAATGCCGTAGATTGAAAAACAGGATCATCAACTACTGCAGACACGGAAACCATAAAGCAGATCTAATAAACTACGCACTGAGCAGTGGATATGAGCTGTGGGTCCGTTATAAGCAGGCTGGGAGTGCAGAGGAAGCTCAAGCCTGGGAAAATACGCTGCTCGCCGCGTATGATTACGCTTGGAACGTTAGAAATAACGGCAACATAAGGGTCGTCCCATAGTGACACTGCCTGATCGGCAATGAAGCGGTAAACGGAGACATCCAATGATCCCATGGACTTAATTCGCCATTGAACAGAAAAGTGCTTATTTTTGTGCCAAACCAGTAGTACATGAAAATTTTTATAGCTTAACTTACGTATAGACTGAGCACGATAACAGTCATCATTTAATCTGAGTACTTTTAACTGCAGCCACTAATCGTCAGCGCTACACCCTTTAAAAAATCGTGTCCGATTACAGTCAATCAAAAAGAGATGACGACACAAGTTGCAACAGACCCAATACTTGCTTACATCCTTACAGTTAGTAAATACTTATGTCATGTAGACGCAGAAATGCAGAAGATGATTATTAAAATGTTTAAATTTATACAGTAAAGTGATGGATTCCAACTTTTAATTTTTAAAACTACTTTTGCCCGTTTTTAATCGACGAAAAAGTTTAATATCGTGTCTTAGGATTCTACTCGTTTTGGTTTTAAGTTGATGTCTTCAACTAAACTTTGCAGACATCGCATTTACGACATTTTTTAGCTCAAATCTACCGTTTAACTAAGTGCAGCGAATAATTCTAAGAAATACCGGAAGAACGTCATTTGCCTTTCCCAGAATTAAAAATCTCTTTGTCACTCACCCCTCAATGATTCAGTGTTCAACAATAGATTACTTTGGAGAAAACCCCTTTGTCCTCCTTGACTCGAGCAAAACGGGATTAGGAATAAGCTACTGAATAATTATGTTTGGAATAAAAGGGATAATATGGTGGCTATAAGAGAAATATGATCATTACAACGTTGAGGCCAAGACTCTAATTGACACTAAGGATCTAAGCTGAGGTAGCCAACAAATGATATATAAACTACTACAACGTGTTATATTACATTTTTACGTTTAACTTCTTTTAAACCAGCTCTGGCTTTAAAGCTGTGTCAATTAAATCTATTAAACAAGCCAGAAAAAAGTAAGGACGGCGAAGCTAAGTGTCCTCCGAAACCTTGCTGCAATTTATAGGACGGAAGAAGAAATTTCGAAGATGCGTTCGCGCGCACGAGAGGAGAAAAGGAGAGACCTCCTCTCCCCTTCAAGTCCCCTTCCCGCCCTCTATAAAAACGAAACAATAAAACTAACCAAAGCCTTCCACGCAGGATAGGGTCTTCAATAGACGCATATAACAGATTGCAATTGATTTGAAACCTTTAAGTTCAAATGGGGCATGATGTATTAAATAAAAATGTAAGGACTCTGTTCCGTGGTTTAGACCACAACGTATTAATAGGATCAAACTGAGGCGCCAAAAATCTCAGGTTCTTTCTAGAAAAATGATTCATTTAGGTGGGATTATTTCTTAGAAAAACCGCAAGAATCCATAATTGTTATGTAAATGACAATGCAATCTCTGATTGGTTAATGTGTAAACCCCACTGACTCACTGTCACAAGACTTACTTTATTGCATAAAGGTATCATCGAAGGGACGACAAGTTGACATGAGTTTTGGCTTAGCTTGGCTCGACAAATACAGAAGAGATCATATTTAACAGACTGACAGAGCTTCAAGAGATTCTACACTCAGAATGGCTCAAGCTCAAAGAAGGGTAAGAGAAAACAGTAATCTTCAGTTTCCACAAAGCCAAAATTGGTCGGCATGGAAGACAGCCATGGTTCCGCTGTACGATCGAATAAACACTGTAAACCGCCACCAGAACCAAGTAGGATTCATCTGGAAATATATACTGCACGACGGCAATTTACCGGAACTCTGTGGAATTTATGAATGGCGAGCTATTCGACGGGACCAGCCAAATCGAGTCGTCTACGTTGGAAGCACGTGCACACGTTGTGGCAACAGTTATGAACCACTGCAAAGCAGAATCCTTGGGTATTGCAGTCATGGTAATCATAAAGAAGCTATGATAAATGACGCATTAACAAAAGGATATACGCTGGAGGTCCGTTACAAGCAGGCTTGGAATGAACTGCAAGCTAGAAACCTGGAGAATGAGCTACTTGACATGTTTGATTATGCTTGGAATGAGAGGCGCAATGGCGGGAAACTTGGTATAAGACTATTGCCAATCTGATACGTGGTCATATAATGTACGAAGATATAAGAGGCTAACTAAAGGCTGTCAGGAAGTAACTCTAAAGGAACTTTCCTGCGCCTGTTTTTTTTTTTCCTTTCCTTTTTTAGAGGACAGTAGAAAGATAATACGATAAGAATGGCTTCAGTGTATGTTTGTGAATATTTTATGTGTATTAGCAGCGGAGTTTTAATCACCGAATATATATGGTTAGGAATTATCTTTGAACATGTCAAATTTAGAGTGAATAGATTCACCAAATTCTGTTCCTCGTGTAATCGACATTTTATTTCTGAGCGAATGCACACGAGTAAACTTAGGAGGAACATTAACGTATTCGTTAATACATGTGTTAGCCGATAATTAAGTGGATTGTGAGATTCTGTAACCTACAAAAAGTGTTGTTAGGTGAGTAGGCAGCCTACGGCAAAGCCCAATCAAAAAAAGAGCGCCGCAGGGTGCAGAGATAAGACAATAGAAGACGGATCAAATTACCTTTCCCGTCTCCCCTCCCTTGCGTCAGTATAGGACACCAAACAGCACATTTTTCTCAAGTTCAATGATTATAGGGTTAGGAAAATAAGTGAATTGAATCCCATTTAGGAATTAGGATCCTTATACAAGCAATGTGAAACTTCAGAGTCCTTTATACTAGCATTCGGCGTTGTGCAAATACTCTTGACGTATCAAAAGACTTGTAGGTGTTCAAATCAAACAAGACGCTATGGGAGCTTAAGCTTCGGCGTCGGGGTTGTGAATTAATTGTGAATGCGGAGGAATAGTAAGAAATGATATTTTTCCGGATACCTTTCCATACAAATACCCTTACCTTTCTCATTTTGTGTAACAGACGTCTTAACTTCTTCACCGGAAGTCTGCCACGTGCATGACCGCGTGGCCCAATTCGATTTTAATTTGAGCCATAAATAAATGCGCACCACGAGATCTCAGTTCCACTTCCTTTATTTCCTCTACAACAACACTTTCCTTATGTACAGTTAAAACTCCACACCTTCTCCAGCAACGTCACTTAAACTAACATCAGTACACTCCCTTACAAAACTTGCTGAAAATGCACAATTTCCACACCGAGGATAATTCACGTACAGCATTTCAACATAAACTAGAAATACGTATCTCTCAATAACCCAAGCGCCACTCAAGTTAAGCCTTGTAGGGCCGGGTTAGGATCTGGATAGTTAACCCACCGCTAATATCGTCGTGGAGGTCCCTACTTTGTTCTTTCCTTTCTTCTTCTTCCTTTTTGCGTATTGTGTGGTTGTTGTGTTGGCATTTCTGAAAGAGGATAAACATACCTAACTTTCTACGTTTGGAATGAATGTACACGAAGTTTAAAATTAAAGTTTTAAATGATTCAAGATTAAATTTGGGCAATAATGTTTTCTTGAAGTGCAATGGACGGTCATTTCAAACGTGAAGTGTTACAAATGCAACCGTGTAGGGGGGAGTCCTATATGAAACCACAAACATTTTGATTGGACACTATGATTGCGTGTAAACTTATTTTTCACGTGGCATGCATAGATTAAACCATTTGGATGTTGTTATATGAATTTCCCGCTTCAAACCAGGCGCCAGTTGTTCCGGAAAGGTGGATAGTGCTATCCACTGGATAAATATCTATTCACTGGACCTGAGCGCAATTGGTTTCCCTGATACTTATACAATGAATAGATCTATCCATCTTTTGAACAACCGGGGCAAGATATTTAAGTTTACTAACCTCCTTCGCAACCGTTAATCACGCAGAAGGTATGCCTCAAGATTTACATGAATCAAGATTAAATTTGGGCATTTAAAATCATGCTTTCTCTCATAATGTTTTCTTGAAGTGCAATGGACAGTCATTCCAAACGTGAAGTGTTAGAAGTATTTAATATGAATAAGAAAAATGTTGTTTGCTCGATTTCTTTCCTTAAACTGGCACCAATTGGTCGATAATTAACGACTTTTCCAAAAATAGTCACGACGTGATGTTTTAAAGGGCGATAACTTCTTTATGTTTGCCAAATTTTGATTCAGCACCTTCATCTATGTCGAAGTTATAGCCGAATAAATCAATAAACTGACTAACTTCAAAAGTCAAGTCATGTGTATCGATGTGACATTGACGCAGCCGTCTTCTTTTGACTAAGTTGACGGTTGTTTGAAGTAAATGAAGTGCGCATGCGCCTCGCGATCGAAAAAAAAGGTTAACATGTAAGCCAAGATAAGGATGAAATGACTTATTTCAGAAGTCAAGTCCTGGGTATAAGGGGGAAAAGGGCTTGTGAAAATCAACTTATGCCTTCGATTCTGATTGATGCCCACCTAGCAGTTATTTTGAGTTATTTCAGAAGAGAGGAAGAAGAATATATTAGAATGATTCTAGACCAATTTAGATTAAAAAAGTACGGCCATTCGATTCGAAGAACGACTGAATGTTTTGATATGTACCTAATTTTTACAGCATGGTGGACTTATCAGTGATTTATGTTGCGGCCCTATTTGTTTGCGTTCTTACATTAACTTTTCTGTTTCTGTCTTTGACTGTAGTAAATGAAATGTTCATTTGTTCATTTGTTTAGCTGTTCTCAGCTTCCCAAAGAGACCAAGTATTTACACTGACAGTACAATAGAACAGATGAATAGCTTTACTTATATTCTGAAGCCCTGAGCGAGGGTAATCGAATCCACGAGGCGCGAAGCGTGGAGAAGCAGTCATTGGAATTCAAGGGTTCACTGTCGTTAATCTACTACGGTTAAAGATTAGTTGATTGAATATGGATTAAGTTTTGAAAGGTGGAGGTGCTGTTTTGAAGTGTTCTGTTGAGACGGTGTTGTGTTGTTATACTGTTCAGTGCTTTACGGATCCGCCCAAACCATCCGGGTGGTATCGCAAATATATAGAGAAAGAAGAATAGGGGAGATATCAGCCAATGAGGAAGGACTGACGTCATCAAATCTGATGAAACTGATTGGATAGTGCCTTTTGTTTCTGTGATACTCGATTTATTTAGTAGTAACTTGCAATTGAATGAGATGAAATGGGGGACAATGAAATTTTAAGAAATATAGAATGTGTTTCTTGCTGGCCGGCCGCTTAAACAATTTAAGATGTTCTTGCACGTGAAAAGATACAGTCTTGATTCTGATAAAGCCTCTTTCCTGATAAAGGATCGGTACGGTCAAGAATAAAAGAGATCAATTAACGATCGCATCGATTACTGAACTGCAAGACAACTGTTCAACGAACCGGAGCTTTCCAGTATCATTATTGGTGCGGTTGCCGACTATAGTTTAGATTGCTACTTTGTTCGGCGATATGCCGATCAGCGCCACCTGAATGAATTCAAACCATTGCGCGTATCCAGGTTCATATCCTGTAGGGATATTAACGAATGTGTAAATAGTCCGGACAACAACAATCAAGTTATTTAACTTAGCATAATTTAGTTATACGGGCTGGAAATGACAAAAATCGTGCTGTGTTTGACTAAAAACCAATAGATTTTAGTCCCTTTGATCGTAAACTGCGCAACAAATCGGTGAGAGAAAGATTTTAAAAGTTTTACTAAATCCTACCGGTTCACGTAATCGACAAGATGTTGATTCGTTGCTTCTGTTTATGTTCGTTGATATTGTTTCAAAAATTCTAAAAAACAAGCACAATTCCCACAAGTTATAGTGCCCTTCTTTTGTTACAACAAACAATAACTATGCAAATCAGCACTGAAACAACGTAACCTGACGGCCGGGTTGTTTGCGAAGCTGGGGTTAAGATCTAACTCAGGGTTAGTGCGAATTTTGAACTCAGATATGATACCGTTAACTCCGAAAATAAGCCCCGGGGCTTATATTTTTCAAATACCCTTTTTGAGGGGCTTATATTTGGAAGGGCGCACCTACGGAGGGAAATTTGCGTTTCAAAATCGATTGGGCTAGCCTTATAGTTGAAGGACATTTACCGTTTTAGCTTTGTTTTACTTTGTATTTGAGGGCAATTTCCATTGAAAACACTTTTTAGGTTATCCAGCATACTTTTATTTCTCTAAAAATGAATTACGAAAAAAAAAACAAAAATTTGAATTACAAGCGATGCTATAAAATTTGTACCTGTTCGGTCATCCTAGGGTGAACTTGAGTCTTTTCATAATTACAAGGGCTTCAGTATTATTTTCCCGAAAAGTTTAGATTCAGTTTAACGTATTACGAACTCAAAGTAATAAATTGATTCTGATCCCTCTCTCCATGAAATTTTAGAACCCGAAACTTTTAGGTTTTCCTTTTTTCAACGAAAAAAAGCCAAACCTGGGAAGTAAAATATGAAAAATTAAACTTAAGAAAAATGTGAGGAATTTATTAAATTATTCGAAATTTGTACATGAATGGAGCGGTCGTCAAGAAATTTTTAGCCGTCCTTAAGTAATAGGAAGTTCTAGGTAATATTTGCTTCTAGGAACAGATATTTTACAGAAAACAGTAGTTAGGTGCCCCTATCAAGGTCCTTGGTGGTCGCAGTATGGAAGAGGACATTGGTGCCTACTATAAGAAGCGTGCAGGTATACTAAGAATCATGGACAATGGGGTCAGAAAAAACTCTTCTCGGCCAGTTGCAGAGTGCATTGGTTTACGTTGGAGGCACTTGCCCGCGAGACGCAGATGATGAGGTATGCCTCAAATCGAAAAATCGAATCATCAACTATTGCAAATAACGGAAGCCGTAAAGGAGTTCTAATAAATGGCGCATTGAGGAGACGACATGAACTCCGTTATAAACATGTTATAAGTCAGTTGGGAATGGCGCGGCACAGGCTCATCGGTAGGAGAATGAGCTGCTGGCCATGTACGATTACCCTTGGAATGTATTCCCATAGAGACACAAGAGAAGTAACTGGAGACATTGAATGAATGGCTTATGGATTAACTTCTTTACTACATAGAACAAAACTTGTTCGTGCCAATCAGAAGACTAGAAAATGTTTGCGGCTTAAGTTACGTAGCTAGAGAACTGATTAGAAGTTTCTGAGCTTTGCTGCGTGACTGTTTTTAATACAAATAGACAGTTTAGTGAATGTGGATTGCCCCTTGGTGCTTTTCCACCCACACCTTTAAGCTCTCACAAGTACAACCCCCTGCTTTCACTGCATTTCACAACACATTTGTAAGTAAGGTGGTGCGAAGAGTCCGATACAAAGCGGCATAAAAAATAATGTTTACTCAATAAGCCGGAAACGGTAACCTTGAAAAAACTCTACTTTCGCCGGTTTTAAAATCGACGAGAAAGTCTAATATCATTGTATTCAAGGAATCTGCGTTTTTGCGGGCGACAAGAGGAGATGGGAGACCCCAGGTAGGAGAGGTAACCCGCCTGTCCATATAATATCTCATTTTAATTCGATCACTGTTACATGATAGGTAGGGTGACCCCCCGCATCTTACCTCACCTATCTGGGGTCCCCCACCTCCATGTAAACATGCTCTTGGTCATTTGCCACACGTTGAAAGTTCGAGGAGAGTATCTTGAAAGAGAGCCCAACACAGAACGTTTATATTTTTGGCCATTAAAAGCGAACCGTTCTTGATATCTGGGCTACTTTGTTTGGGGTTTTTGATACCGGGATGAAACTTTGAATTATAATCAGCTTTAATAAGTTCGGTGAACAAACAGAGAACAACGTAATTAAAATATTGCTCGTATCTGACCCTCATGATCTGAACCGCTTCTGAATCTTTTAAGACCTTTTAACTCACATTTATTCACCTCCAAAGACTCGGCTCCATACAATTTCCGCTGAAGCAGTTCAACTAGCAGTAAATTATTTTAAAAAAAACCTAATCCATATTACTTGAAAACATTTATTGTCGTTCATAATTCATTCAACACAATATTTATTCCCAAGCGAGTAAAAAACCCTCCTTCAGAAAATAATGTTTATCAATGAGACCTGCTCATGTAGAGGTAATATATAGACCTCATTCACGATACCAGCGATCTTTGCACGCGCATAAGGACTGGTGGGATCAATGTAATGTCACGTTGTTTCTCAGGGGGCAAACAAGCTATAAAATCTGCCAATACAAGAAATCGCGGTTGTGTTTCTTTATTTTTGACAACAGAAAACGAAGAACGTTTTATCTTAAATACAATAATGTCAAATTATAGATGGACGTGATCGTTGTTATATTTTTTATTGCAGTAGGGACGGTAGATGTCCTCACAGCAGGCAATAATGACGTGAAACTAGTGGAAACTTGAACTGTATTTTTTGCAAATGTAAAATTGCCTTATCGTTTTTAGAGGATAAACAAACTCGACCGCGATTGCTAGTATTGAGACATTTTATCACTTGTTTGCCCCCTGAAATACCGCGTGACATTTCTTTTATACCATCAATCCTAGAGCGCGTGCAAAGATAGTGGGTATCGTGAATAAGGTCTATTACTTCTTGCTATTGACGACCATTTATTTATTTTCCATATAGCTCTTGTCTATCTTTTATATTTCATTCATCTATTCATCCCTCTCCCCAGTTATACATCCACCGTTCCTTCGTTCCTTTATTCATTCATTCCACTCTTGAATTTGAATCAATGATCAGTCTTCATCAGTCTCTTTATGGTCAAGTATTCAAACCTCATTGCAGTTTTTACTAATCACCACATAAGGTTAAGGGTACCAACTTTTTTTTTAAGAGTTGTTTCTTGTATCCGCGTCTGATTCTTTGGCAAACTGTGATTATCCCTTGAGAGCTTGCCAGGCATGTGATCAGAAGGTGAGTGGTAGACAATCTCATTAATAAAACTCCTAAATGATGAAATATTGTTCGAAGTTTTATGTTCTTAAGGAGACCGTGGTCTCTAACTCGTTTAACTGTTCACGAGATCCTCTCACTGACCAGCCCTGATAACATCGACGCCGCTTTCTCAGCACGAGTAAAAATACGATGCCGATGACAGCCATCACAGGAATAACCGTACACACGGAAGTGACGACAACTGGCGTGGACGCCCTGGCGTGCAAAGGGACGTTGGGACTGGGAGGAACCGAATTGGGAAAATTCCCGGATGACTGGGACGAAGGTGAGTCTGGTGAAGAAGGTCTGGAGGAAGACGAAGAGGTTGAGGGTTTTGAAGAGTGGAGAGTTGACTCTTCTGAATTCGATTGAACCTGAATTTATACCAATGCGTAACAAGTCACTAAGGCCACGAAAACTTCCACTGATGATTTGCACCGCGATGTTCCAGTCACATTCTTGTATTTTTAGGAAGTTCTGAAGAGCCTTAATATTAAGCCTGGCATTGACTAGTAAAATCGTTCTGTTCAGTTTGCATTTAAGGTCAATGTAAGGAACTCATTGCTAGTATGTAATTTCGAATTTAAAACTAAAGGGCTATTTCTTAGAAAAACCGCAAGTTCTCACAATACTACCGTTTAACTTGAAGTTAAGAAACCTCAAACATTTTGATTGGCTAATTACGTGTAAACTAATTTTTCACGTGGCATGGAAAGCCAATAGCAAGTTGTGGCGTGGTATATGAATCTCCCGCTGCAAATCACATACGTAAGTTAATGTTCTGTTTCAACCCATAACATTGCAGTAATAAGTCATTGGATCAGCCTAACATTCACTGCTCCTGCTAAACACAGACCACTGTCCTTGCAGAAGTACTTTGGCGAACAATTGTATAACGCTTCATTTCAACGAAGCTAGTCTTTGCAGCCCTTTACTCACGCAGACGGTATGTTTCAACTAAAGCCATTTAGAGAAAATAATGATCTCGTACGGCTTCAAGGCCAAGGTTCGTGGTCACAATGGAGGAGAG